AAAATAATACTCTCATCAAAATTATTACCAGAGAGAAAATTTGTAACACACGAGTATTAAAAGAATTATTAATTGTTATTAATCTCAATATATTCAATATTTTGTTTGTTTTATGTTTGGAAAACTTTTAACGTATTTTTAAAATTTTAGTCCTAACTTATTAACATTTTATCAAGTAAAACAAAAAAAAAAAGTGTTGGATAATAATATTTAAATTTTTATATGTACGTATACTACACGTATTTTTGAATACGTACAATTTATCTGCTTAGATTTCTCATACAGTATACTTATAACAAAAGTTACATTCAAAATGTAGAGAATTTATGTTATATATAGAATAGTTTTTATAAAAAAGAAATAATTTCTTATATTCCTATCATTAATAAAAATTAACTTGATTCCTTTTTTTATAAATTATAAGTTATATCATATAGGTAATTATTATTAATCAAAACGAATAAATCATATCTATTATTTAGCAATAAGTTGAGCCGCAGTAGTTAAACATTATTTATCAGTTTTGTTGGAGTTCACAGCTACTTGTTGAACTTCTTATATTTTATTGATTAATATTTATAAAAAAAGATAAATTACAATTTTTAGCTTTAATGTAAGCTAAGCAGGTCTTAATTTTACAATATGTGTTTTTTTTTTTATGTTTGTTTCTCCACTTTTTCATAAAAAAGCTATTTTACTTAACCATACGTCAAATTATTCCAAGCCGTACCTAGCTTAACATATTATCTCCATAGTTTGAACAAAATTCCATTAATCCCTCAAACGCGGGAAACCCCTAATAAATTACGAAGTAAAATCAGCAAATTCACATAGAAGTTTTTTTTATGGCAATGATGTTATCACTGTTTAAAATCATCTATTTCGCCACGACTCCATTATGCTGGGCTTTTTGATTTTAAAACGTCATTATATGTTTAAAAAATTATTAAATTAATTAAATTAAAAATAAATTAAATCAAAAATTATTTTGAATTTTCTTTAGATGTTTTATTTTCATTTGATGGAAAAATTTATTTAGCACCCCCAAAAATTATATTCTAGTTGCATCTATAAAAATTCATAACAGTAATTCATCGAACAAAAAACAAAGGATCTAATTTTTTTTATAATGGCAATTTGATTTTAAGTAACCTTTTAAATTTTCTAGGAGGTTATTTTAGCTAAATAAAAAATAGACTATGGATACATTTATATTTTACCAATTCTAAAAATTAATTATTAGTCTTTAAAAAATTAAAATTTTTCTAGTTTATCTTTTCCAATACCCCATTGGATGTATTTATTAATTTTGTAGAACTATGATTAGTATGGTATTAATGGTATTTAATTTTTCATAGATTTATGATTATAATACAAAATTACAAAATAAAATCACCCTTGTAAAAAAGTCAATTTGTAATAATTCTGTAAAATAACAAACGATAAATTTACCACACGTGATTAGTGTAAATATAAAAACAATAGATTGCGTGATATTGTACAAATATTTTAACAACTTATTGTAAGCGAATAACTTTAATTCCAATAAGTTTATGTATAATTTAAAAGAAAAACAAATTAATTTTACTGAACTCTGATAAATTAGGTCGCATAAAAAATAAGCATGGCGCCCCACTGTAACACTAAAATACCAATGAGTCTAATCTAATTGTTAGTAGTATTAGTTTCTAACAGAAAAGTTTCTCGCCACAGAAATATTAATTGCCAACATAAGGTCAAAGACTGGAGTATTTCGTATCAAATTATCAATTTAAATGAAAAAAAAAAAATCAACAGGTAAATAATAATTATAAGCTATAATGGATAGAGGCTTATATCTATACGAAAAGCAATAAAAAAAAACCTTTTAGTCTGACATTGATGCAATAAGTATATTTGTGTAGTTTATAAAATACTGTTTTAGGATATAATTGCTTTTATTATTATACCTAAATAAAAAAATATCAAGTTTTACAGTATTGTACATTAAATATAAAGTGAAATATACTGATTCCCTCATGAAAAATAAAGAAGACTAGCTAAAAGGATTAAAATTTTATAAAATTTTGTGGTATTATATAATTCATATATATATATATATATATATGCATGTTCTTCAAAAAACTGTTCAATTGTCTCACTCTAATAGCTGTTGACTGCCTTGAATATAACTAAGCATAGATGCTATCCTTGTTCAATATCTCGATTAAATTTATAACGTGTACATGGAAACTACTTCCCGATTAAATAAAGCACATTTTAAATACAACCTTTTTTTGTATTATTTCTCTGGTCATAATTATATTTAAGGAAAATAGTACAAGTATCAAATCGTTTCCATTTTGGGCTTGATACAATATCAAATATATTTATGAAATGAAATTGTTATATATATATAAAAATTCTCGGAGACTATATTTTTTAAGGCTATAGAAGTATATGTGTTAATTTTTTTTAAGTAATGGTTTATTTTGTTCCAGGAATAGCCAAAAATGAGAGCAAATAATTTGTTAATGATTTTGAACATAATATTATTTTTACATCATAAGTAGTAATTATACAGATTGCACAATTTTCGAACTAATAACATTCAATCAATTCAGTTAGATTCGTAAATCAAATTTAAAATGTAATAAAATTGTACTAAACTATTTTCATCTATCAATTTAAAAATTTTAATAAATTAAAAAAAAAAAATCCTAAATTTGTCAAAATATGAAAAATCTGTTTCAATTTTGGATTATGCAGTATGAGTTCGAATAAAAAATGAAAGTTCATTTCGATTTCAAATATCAGAATTGATATCATTAACCCTGATATTTGCTCACAAATGCTTAAGAATTATACTTTTAATTAGGTTTCTGTAATTTTTCAAACTAAATTGAGTCATGATCTAAATTTTATATTCCTAATAGAAAAATAAAATTAATCAGATAACTATAAGTGAAATTGGTTTTTATCATTCAGGGTTAAGAAATCATTAATTGAAAACCAATTTTGAAATTAATAATAAAAACAAAATAAAATAAATATATAACCATAGGCGTAGAGTAGTTAATTATTTTCAAAGAGCAAAATTAATTTTTTTTCCATCCAAAAAGAATTTCTGTAAAACAATGAATATAATTTTCCTGATTTCAGGGGAGTAATTATGAACTGGTGTGCCAAAATCTTCTAACGACAATGTGTAAGACTATACATCTATCTTTAATTAAAAGGAATGGTTTTTATGTATTGAATTTTAATGTTATATTTTTTTGAGTAATATTGATTTTTATGAAGACAATTTTTTATAAAAGTATTACCACATTTTTTTTGTATTGCTTTATAATTATCTAATCAGTAGTTCTGATGCCATTTTATTCTATATTTAATATTTATGTTTCATTATTTTTACAAGATGATTGAATTATTCTCATTAATATCCAATATAAATACTGACTCTCTCCCCCAAATGATAATGACAGTGCTATCAAACAAGGTTTTGGAAATTATATATTCTATATTGAAACAAGGCTAAGATTTACCGTAAATATCGATCATAGCAGCTATAAACATATTTCTAAATATATTTAAACAAATATTACTTTATTACAAAAAGATCTCAATAATGTTTGTAGAAGTATAGCATAAAACTATTCATTTATTTTCTACAAACGCACGACCTTTTGAAATATATAAAATTTAACGACTAGGTTAAAATAATTATCTAGTGGAGGTGATTACATCTCTTCATAAAGTGTTTGGCTTTTTTTTTCTTATAGAATTAACTAATTATACTAAGAAATTTATTTATCTTGTTTATTTCAAAAACGAGTGCAAAGATTTCATATTAACGGCTGATTAGAGTTATTAATTTATAACATATGAATGAAAATTTTCAAACAATCCCCATAATAATTATGTGATTTGTTGTGATATGTGGGTGCAGATCGTACTAGTGTACATATACTCTGCCTGCGATTCATATCCACTCTATGTATTTAAATTCTTGTAACAGAATAGGTACTTGTCTTAAAGTAGTTATCGAACCACCAACATTTTTTACAAAAAAAAAGTTTGGTTATTTTAAAAAATTGTTTTTTTTTATTAGCAACAAATAATTAATAAAATACTTTTAGGGTAGTCCAAAAGGGTAAAAAATATTTAAAAAAAGTAATCCAAAATTTTCACTGGAATAAAAAGTTATTAAAGATGTCAGAACATGGTAGGACACTCTTTATATGTTATTAACTGATCATACGCTCAAAGGTCTACCATTATTAATATTGGTATATAAAAAAAATCTATCAAAAAAGAGAGTACCAAATTAGTTTATCATCATATCTTCCACCTCATCTGTTTGAGGTCTGCTTTACCTTTATTTGACAGGATTTTTACACCGGCTATCGGCTTGACGCAACATCATTATGGCTGAAAGAGCCAGTAAGAGGTAAGATAAGGTGTGTGTCACTGTAAAATTTCCCATATGAATATGTACCCGAGAACTAATAACAAATAGCACAACGGAAGATGATCCACTACGCACACCACGCCCCAAAATACAAAATTAGTTAATGATCCAAAATTTTATAATTCTTCTCTAAAACTTGTCTAGGTACACCCTAGTCGTAAGAATGAATAAAAATTGACAAAAAATTCAAGCGGATCTTTGTCTGATGAAGAATTAATTAATTCCCCTACTTTATACTAAATATATAATACACATATATTTTGGTTTCTGGTATTTATCATTACACGTTCCTAAAACGTAAAAATAAGTTAAACATAAAACTTACTCTTGTCATAATTTTTTTTTCAATTATCAATATATGGTTTATTTTTCAATGTATTTAATAAAATGACAAGTTAATCTATTTAATTGTACCATTAGTTAGTTTTAGAAAATAAATTAAATTAAAAAAGTTCAATAAACTTAGTCATTTTTTAATGATCTGTTTAAATTAATATGATTGATTGCTCATGCTTATATTATATAAGTTATATAATATTATGCTTACTGAAATTTCTCGTCCGTGGATCAACAAGACTGCCATTTAAAATGCTCCGCCCCAAAACAGCTGCAGGATCCAAACTCTTACGTCTGTTTGTACTATAACTTTGTCGTCTCGAGGATTTTCCAGTTACAGTGTTCATATACACTGCTGTATAACTGGATCTCCGAAGTTCTCCTTTAGATCCCTTGGAGTTTGATAGCATAGAAATCAAATCGTCCATCATGATTTATATCGATAATATAAAATATTATAGCTCTTCAATTAAATTATTCTGTTAGCAAAAGAAATTTAAATAACAACTATTATTCTAAAATTGAAAATTCACTATTGACTGAGTTACTTTAAGATAACAAGCAGTTGGTCTATCCGCCAGTGATTATTATATAATGTAGTCGTTTAAAAAATACCAGAGGCTAAGAGGTGTATTAGATGACAGTTTGGATAGCGTAACACCAGACTTTAAAGTATACCTCAGCATATTAGCATAATATGTTGGAAGAAGAAGACACTTCAATTGTCGTTAACGAAATAACAATAACAAAACTATTAAAACATTTGAAATGACGTTAAAGAATCGATCAAATACGAAGACTCACATTCGCACGAGTATTTAATACAAGTCAATTATTAGATAATACGATCACAGATGTGCATATGATTAATTATTTTAACGCTTATAACGGAAGCTGTGATAGCGGTGAGTGATTAAACGAGTATTATGCACAAACACACAATGTCGATAAGAGCAAAAATAAAGTGTACACACATGCAAGACGTAGAACAATAATTTGTAGACTCCGGAAACTCCCACCCGCTCCTTGGAAGAAAACCCCTTCTGTTTTGTCGCCTTGCCACATTAAGAATAAGTAATTATAATAGAAAAATTGCTGCAAAAATAACCTTTTCATCCCAATATAAATCTATAGTTATCTAAAGTGTCGAAGGTCTTGCCGATCGTGTTGTGGAGGTCGTGTCAGAAACCAGACCGCCGCATCACATCGACCTGTTTGAATTAGTCACTCAAATAATATGCCAAGCGCTATTTACTTGCTTGATCACTATTATTAACATGATCTAGTTGATGAATGAATGAATCTTTAAATGTTATCTGGATTCACAGACCTCGAAAAGCAAGAATTCGTTAATATTTTCTCAAGACTTTGAAAATTTAACCAATTATAAAATGGCCAATGTACACATATAATCCACAAATTTGAATTATTAGTAAGGTAGTCATTTGTTTAATACTCTTTGTTAAATTCATATTAAACGATCCGCCATAAAATCTTCAATTGGGAATTCTTTAATATTGTCAATTTCTTGTTGGCGGTATTTATGTTTATTATCACAGGTAATACATTTAAACAATAAACACATTTATTGTTTATAATTTGAAGGATATAGAGCTTTTGTTAAATAAAATAGCATTTGTTCTTTTATGAATAATTAATGTTAAAGTGAAAAACTATTTTTATCTTATTTAAAAATAATTATTAAGTTACAAAGAAGAAAACATATTGAATGACTTAAAATTTTATTAAACATTTATAGCATATCTAAATGATTTAAAAAGTCGTAAAATAATAACATAAAACCACTTTGAAATTAAAACTAGGTCATTTCACTTTTTTGGAATTAATTACAAATAAAAATTACAAATTAGTTTTTATGTCATTCCTTAACAAATCAAATGTTTATATTAATTTAAATATCAATAATAAATAAAATTGTATGTTAATTTTTTTTTTTAAGGATTATTATTACAAAATATTTCTTAAATGGAATTAATTTTGAAATCAGTGCATCGTGCATTTTTTAAATGTCATACGTTGTAATTTTACTATTTGCCAAATTAAGTGAATATTGATATACTTAGCGTCCAACTAAAATTGAAGTTTTTTTTTATTCAAAGCTTCGCTATTGATAAAATCAATTTATACTTGCATCCATAACATAACTATTATAAGATTTAGCATTTAACCCTTTAGCAGGCGCGTACCTATTTTTAAGGTCCATAGTCGCGTGGGGGTCTATCAGAACCCAATTCTAAAAAAGTATAAAATATGTATAAAAAAGTTCATTTTTTTTAATTCAAAGACATTATTTGTTACCATATGATATATAAATATGGATGAAAATTCAAAAATCAAAATAAAAAAATAAATAAATTACAAAATTATGTGCATTATTAAAAATTATATAACGAAAAAAAAAAACTTATTTTTCAAAATTTCATTAAAAAATTTTGGTTTGTAAAAAATTATTTTAACTGCAAAATCTTATTTAAAGACTGTAAACAAAAGCTTTTACTAATACAAAATGTATTTTAATTAATTTTTCTTGTATTTCTTTGAGCTCAAACACGGCTTGTATTTATTAGTTTTATGTGTATTTACATTTATACAATCATTTTTCTGACTTAAATTTCCTAATTATTAATATCGCAATACATTTAATTATTATGATATGAGTATATACAATTATTCGTTGGTAGTAGCACATCGATTACCAATAATCAATGTGTCCACATTGCGACGCGATGTATTTATTACATGTTTTGTTCTTATTTCTTTCCGTATCATCGAGTAGAGGAAATTCTCAATAGATTGTTTATTTTTAAAACTTAATTGTACAGTCGGTGGCAGATCCACATAATTCCAATTCCACAATATTATATCGATTATAACATTGCATTTACTATAAAACAATATTTTGAAAAAAATACAAGCCCAAAAAATAATTATAACGTTACAAGTCGCGTGGGGGTCAATATGACCCATTTCAATTTTGATGGATATTTTAAGTCATACTTAGATATTTTTAGATAGATATTTTTTTTCGAAGGTATTTATTTATGAAAATCGATTCAATATTACTATAAAAACCATCTTCTAAATTTATATCTATGTACACCTTTTATGCAATATAATACATCCGTTTTTATTTATGTGGGAGTATGCTAGACCCCCACGCGACTGTTTAAGGGTTAAAATACAACATATATGCAACTTAAATTTTACAAACTTAAAATTAAGGTAATACAGGGTCAAGTTATATTTATATATAATTATTTCGTTCTGGTAGTATGTTAAAATAATAATTTTTGTGGTGTCAGAATTTAGTTCAAAAATTACCCAAAAATGTTTAGAAAGTTATTTTTAGGTTTTTTGTGCATTGGTATTTTTTGTATTCTGAGAATATGAGTTTGATAGAAATATTCCACAGCATTTGCAATCTATTATTATAAATTAGTGCTTTGAAAAATTATTATTTTAAACTAATTAAAAATTCATTATAATACTTATAATTAGGTAAGCTGATACAACGGAGTTTACATAAAAGTCTAATATGTAGTTTAAATATACATAGTTATCATTTTGAATCTCATTTATTGGTGCAATATAAATATAACTACCTTGAGTCAATCCGGCTTCGTTAATTTGGCCATGTAAAATCTGACAATCATATATGATTAATAAAAAAAACCGTCAAATAAACTTCACAAAATAAGAATACACATAAATTTGAAAATGTAATTGGTGAGCTTATAAATTAGAAAAGCTCAAAACTCAATTAATAGAGATTTGGGGTGTGAATTACAAAGCATATATTTTAAGTAAATAACAAAAGCGCACACACAACTTAGCACCCAAAAATTATAAATAAGTACTAGTTTTTTCATTTAATTGTTCTTCAAAAAATTCTAATATATTGAACATAGTATGATTTTTATATACTTATATAATTCTATAATACTGTACAATTCATGACTGGAATTAGTTCTTATTTATGTTTTTAACATTATTAATATTATTTTAATATAGATAATATTGTTTGTGACATTTTAAAAATGAAAGTTTGAAATGTCACAAACAAAAAAGTTTGATCTCAAAATTAGATCATCGTAAAATTCATTTTAAAATAAAATGCTATAATAACTTGAAATAGTAATATTTATAGTTATATTTTAATTAGTGTCGTCCTGGGGACCATATATTTTTCAAAAAACTACAAATAAAAATAATTGTCCAGCTTCATTATCATCAAATTATTACAATATAGGTAATAAAGGAAATACTATTATCGTTACTTTACACAAGCTAATAATTTTTAATTGTTGAGATTTGAGTAATAATACGAATTTTCAAATACACTAAGAAAAAATTAATTTTATATTCTTTTTAACCTAACTTTTTATGTTATGATTATTGTTATTATTATCTTCACAGCCATAAAAGTAGCGTATATATTAGCAATAATGTCATTGTGTAGTCATATGCTAAGGAAAAAGTTGGCATTTAAGAATTGTATTACTTTCATTATCATTATTAGAAGATAGAGTTTTTTGAGTAAGAATATTTGTAACTTTCCATAACGATGAATTGGGCGTACATGGTATTATAATTTATTACTTCATTAATAGTTACCTATGTCGCATAAGCTGACCAAATGCGAATTTTTTGTAGAATTATATGCACTACTACTGTAAGGTATTATAATTTTTTTTTTTCAATAAATAATTTATATTTTAGTAAATATGGCTACTTTTGGTAAGAAGAGGCAGATTTAAAAAAAAGGAATAAAGTTAATGAATTTTGATAATAATAATAATAAAATGAATCAGAATAAAATTCATTCTATTATAATAAGACTGATATTAATAGTTCACATTACAAATTAGATAAATCAAGTAAAAAAAATTAAATAATTTTTAACCATTGTTATGTTAAAAAATATATATATATATCAGTTTAAATTATAACCTAACAGAATTAAATTAATTAATTTACTATTTGTTATATTTATAACTTATTATTTAATATAAAGCAGCAATGGTTAAATCGGCGATGTTTAAGGGGATAGATCCTTCAATTTATATTTTTTTTCGACATTTTTGTACAATTTTCTTTTTATATTTTCAAAACTTATTACATGATAATTCAATTTAAAAGTTATAAAGAATAATTAATATGATAAAAATATTAATTCCACAAATTTAAGAGATTAGATATTAAATTTTTTTATTATTTATACGTAGGTCAATTCAACGGGACACTATTCAAAAATAAATTAATATTTGAATGACTAAAAAATAAGAAAGTTATGCATATCTAAAAATCCGTAGTAACATCTTGATATAGTTATACAAATAAAAAAACTCTGGGGTATGAAATCACAGCTCCCATGATGATTTAAATCACTAAGTTTCCCATCCCCTCCATGGAAAAATTAATAGACCGTCACTGATATAAAGCAAAAAAGATACACGTTAATATCATAAATAATATTTCCAGTGCATTTTCTAAATTATTATTTAATAAAAACGATAAAAACTAACTAGACCTTGTTACATAACATTTGTATAATTTTTATTTTTGCAAAAGATAAATAATATAAAAAATAAATATAAATATAATTACAAATTCCTTTAATAACAACATTATTACTTATAGAAAATAAGTAACAAAATATAGGGTTTCAAATCAGAATCTATTTAATACTTTCATTGAAACATGATTCAACAACTTTTATGTATTTGATATTTCTAAATATTAATAGAAAGTCATAAAAGTGTTATTAATTAATTTAATAATATATTAACATACATTTTTTAATAAGAAATTTTTGTACAATATCACTAATATTTGTTAATTTGTCATTACTCAACTAAAAAAATCCATAGAGAAAAAATCAAAAAGATTATTTCTAAAATTAGCCC